AACGAAAAAAAGAATCAGTGAGGTATAAGGTAATAACCAGAGATCATATGTATGCTGAACCTTCATCAAAAGGGCTGAGTCCAGATCTATTCTACCAATAAATTAACTACAGTGATAGAGGCCAATTACTTAATTTCTCTAGCTTCATTCAGCTTTACCATTTATAAAACATAATGATATGTATGAGTTGCTATTTTTACAACAGAATAATACAACACCTTACAAATGGAGAGTACATTCTAGTTTTTTTTTTAAACAAGTGTCCACCATCAGCTTTTTTCTTTTTTTGTTGTTGTGGACCTTTTTTTTTTTTTTTAATTTTTATTTTTGGCTTGTGTTGGGTCTTCGTTGCTGCACACGTGCCCCCCCTAGTTGCAGGGGGTAGGGGCCACTCTTCGCTACGGTGCGCGGGCTTCTCACTGCAGTGGCCTCTCCCGTTGCAGAACACGGGCTCCAAGCGTGCAGGCTTCAGTAGTTGTGGCTCACGGACTCTAGAGCACAGGCTCAGTATCTGTGGCGCAAGGGCTTCATTGCTCCATGGCACGTGGGATCATCCCGGACCAGGGCTCGAACCCGTGTCCCCTGCACTGGCAGGCGGATTCCTAACCACTGCGCCACCAGGGAAGTCCCGATGTGGGCCATTTTTAAAGTTTTTATTGAATTTGTTACAATATTACTTTTGTTTTATGTTTTGGTTTTTTGGTGGAGAGGCATGTGGGATCTTAGCTCCCCAACCAGGGATCGAACTTCCCACCCCCTGCATTGGAAGGTGAAGTCTTAACTACATTTTAGTTTCTAAATTACCTTTTAGCTTATCTCATTTAACACCACAACCATCCTGTGAGACAGATCTTGTTATCCACATTCTATTGTTTGAGAAAACAACGCTAAGATCAAGTCTCTCAGTTTATGAGTGGGAGAACCAGCATGGTATGTAACTTAGGCCCTCTGTAGATGTACAGTGTCAAAGAACACAGACTCTTGACCCAGGCTTCCTGGGTTCAAATCCAGCTCCATCATTTGCTAAATAAGTGACTGGAAGCAAATGATTTAAGTGTTACAGATATTACTCTTGACAAAGGGATATTTATCTTCCTCAGGCAGGAATAAGGAACCACAGAGAAATTTTGAGATGATGAGCATGTTAGATGACTTTGACTTTCTCAATAAAGGAAATAATCTACTAAGAGTCATGTGGGCCAGGCAGTTTTCAACTATGGCCTGCAGATGTGTGACTGAATCCCCACACACAACCAAAATAAGCTCTTCTGCTTTACATCCTAAGCTTCCTAATAATTTTGTTTCTGGGGTTCACCTACATTCAATTTTTAAAGCCACTGGATTATATTCATCTTTAAGGTCTCTTTTAACTATAAGATTATATGATTTTATTATGTGCCTTTTAACCCATTACTAGCTTTTTCTCTATCTTACCCATCAAACAAGTATAAACTCTCCCTCCTGAGTCTCATAGCACTTTGTGAGTGCCTCTTGAGGACACTGCACATTCTTCAATATAAACACAAAGACCATTCTCTCAATTAGATTTAAGCTCCTGCAAGGCAGGCACTTCCATCACTTAGTATCCTCAACCCCAAACACAACGCAGGTAAGCACTAAGTATGTACTTGTTAAATGCACAGTGATTTAATAATGTAAATATACTAAAATTACACTGGGCTTTGGTTTCCAGACACTTCATGGCAATTATGACTTGATGATTATTCATCTCCATAGTACTAAACAATATACATTGATGGTCTCCCTATTAAGAAACAATCATAACATTTTTAAAAGGACATAAAATGTAAAATTAAAACAAGATAAAGAAAATGGTTTTTACAATACACCCTATATATACTAAATGTATGTAAAAAGAGATACCACTTACCCTGATACAGCTGAAACAACAAAGCTTGGAGCAATGAGGACACAGGCGTGCATCCCGCAATTTCTCCATACAAATGAAACATCGGAAAACATCAGCAATGCTCTGAAAATAATAAAAGATATAAGGTTCACCAGATTACGCTGCTGAATCATGAGTAAAAGGCATGCTTGCAATAATTCACCTGACAATTACATTTATTTTGGGTTGATAACATCCCAGTTTTAACTATATTCCATATCAGGACTTGGTTAGTCAAGGTCCAGGGTACCTCAGAACATCTCCTGGGAAAAAAATGCTGCCTTTTTTCTAAGCTTCACAGTGGTTCTAGTCTAAGAAAAGAATATGGAATGCAAACATAGACATGCACAAATATTTTCATGGAAACATCAATTATAATGGCAAGAATCTGGCTATAGCCCAAACGTCAAAATATTAAGTTACAGGAGTTAACATAGACTATGATAGTCACAGAAATATTTTTGAATTGTTTAATGATCAAAAAAAACCCTTATGATGTGTAACAGTAAGGAAAAAAAAGGCAAACTATGACTGTATGAACACTATGAACTTGTGACTTTTTCTTCAATTTCCCCAAGGGGGATGCACTGCTTTTATAATTTAAGTATAAAAAGATACATTAATGGCAGCATACTTTGATCAAGAGAGAAACAATGTAATTCAGAATCCAGAAATCTGAATTTCTGCTCTGAATTTCTGCCATGCTGCTGCAACCAACTAGCTACTTATTTGAGCCTGAAATTCTGTCCGTATGGAGAATTTTGGTGGTAGCTCTATGAAGGCTTTGGGAAGAAAAAAAATACGTAAACAGAAGAAGCAGTATTATCTTTGCCAGCCATGAATCCATGAATCCATTTAGGAAGTATCTGACAAGAAAACAGATATAATTAAATGTAGGTTATTATATATTTTAAGTTTATTTTTACAGTACTCACATTTATTTTTACTCCATTCCAGAGGAATTAAACTCTTCTAAAACCAAGATAAGGTTACAAAACTTTTATAATACTTTTACATGAGGAATTAAGGAGAAAATTACTCACGAGTCTAACCATGACTCTGCAGGACCAGAAAGAATCTGTGAGATGCAGACGTTGGGGGATGGGGGGTACGGCGGGGGACAATACGACCATTGGATGAACTAGTTTCAAGTGGAGTGCCCAGGTAATATAGCTGTTCCTTATCAAGGATTTAGTATTTTAGTAATTGCAAGGTTCAAGTCTTGACAATTATTATTATTATACAATTATGTCCAATAAGCAATCTTTTTAAAGTTCCTAGCATTAACGTAAATACCCCAAACGTTTGAAATCATCGTTTACAAGAGTCATATAAAAAGAATAGGTTGCTCTGGAAAACTACAGTCAAACAGGATAGTAAAATTATATCCTCAATCAATCTAGGAAGGGCAGATGTCTACAAAATGTACCACTGGGAGGGAATGATTATCCATTCGGAGGGAGATTTGGATCCGCGCAAAAACTCGTAAGAACTGGTGGCAAGTCGCAGCGCACGTCCGTCTAAAGAATCTGCAGTTCTGCTCTGCACAGGCTGTAGTTTGCAGAAACCCTGTGGGGATGAGTACCCGTGCCAAGACATCCTGAAAACGCCAGGATACGCACCACCTGACTGCGGGTCAGAGCACAGGGCAGCCGGAGGGCTGCAGAACGAGCACGGCGTCCTCTGCACTGGGCCAGCCCCCTCCACAAAGGCAGCGGCGGGGTGGGGGTACTAGGGCAAGGCGCCCTACGAGAGGGTGGACTAGGGCAAAGCGCCTCGAATAAAGAACGCTCAGCGGGTGGCGAGGGAGACTAAGCACCACCTTCCTCAAGCCCCCTCACCTCCACGCTCTGTTCATCCATTGCCTCCGGCTCTCGGCGGGGCGCTCGGCGACCCGCGGAGTCCGTGGTCTGACCTGTTAGGCGCCGGCCTGAGGTCACCAAGTCAAATCGCCGCGGAGAACAGCCGGGCGCCTACATCAGGGGTCTCCGACCACCGCCCCACCTGCGTGCCCCATCACTTCGGGTTCGGCGCCAGCTACCCACACTTCGCCATTTTTATCCGCGCGCCAGCCCTAGGGCGCAGTGGGAGGGTGAGCGTTAGCCACAAGCTTCTTTCCTCCCGGCTGAGCGGCCCGCCAGCGACCGAGCAGGAGCCTTGCCCACGTGACGCGGGCGCGCGCCTATCAAACCGCAGCTGAAGCCCGGCGGCGCTGGTCTTCCGCGACTCAGTTGCCGCTGGGAATTCGCAAACACCAACGGTAACCAGGGTAGCGGAAGGTGCGGTGTGAGAAAAGGCGCGGCCCGCATGCACGCATGCGCACAGGCCGCAGCGCTAAGGGAGCGGACCAGCGGCGGGCGCCTAGTTCCCGCGGTGCAGGGGAGCACACGAGATTTGGCCGCTGGCTGCTGCAGGGTTGCGTGCCTTCGGCCCGTGTTAGCGCTGGCGGAGGAGGGCGCGGCGCTTAACCGCGCCCCGTCTCCCTCAGGGGAGGGGCGGCGCTCTACCCTTCTCAAACTTTCGCGCGCCAAAGGCTGGAGCCACCTGGAGGGTTTGTGGGAAATGCAGACTCCGGAGCCACACCCCTAGGTATTCGGACTCCGTGATTCTAGGGTGGGGCTCCACGAAATCGTTTTCAACAAATTCTGTCGGTGATTTGGCTGCAGGTGGCTTGTGGCCCGCACCTTGAGAAACTGTGGTGCAGAGGATTCGTGGCTAGTGCTTCTTTCTCGGGGAGCAAGCCCAGATTCTCAGGTTTTTAAGACTTCCGCCCCACGTACGGAAGCAAAGCTACAGATTGTGAAGCCTAGAGCGGTAATTTCAGAGTCGGGAGTGGGAGGACGGGACCACGGACGGTGTAGACGTCAGACCCACCCCCAACCACATTCGCCCTGCATTGCTTGGGGCTCGAGGTGAGCTATCGCCATGAGACTGTGGAAAGTGCAAGAGTATCAGCTGTATTCAGCTTTCCCATATTGGCGTCTGCTTTCTACAGTTTTCTAGCGTAAGAAGTGTTTAAAGATTGCAGAAATTGAAGGTGTGAGGCAAAGGATGTACATCAAATTCTTGAGTTTAATTTTTCCTTTCCAGTTTATTGCAAACAACTGTTACACTTAACCGAAAGTGAATGCACCTGAAGAGAATCAACAATTATCTAGGAAGAATTTCTTAAATATCACAGCATTTGGACTTTCTTATAAGTAGTGGGCATAACAATTTTTTTTAACTACATGAGCCATGTACAAAGATATAATTTAGGAATAATTGTGCCTGAAAAAATTCTTTCAGCAAAAATTATTTATGGTCTTGGAACTACATAGATGTGACAGTTGCACATCTTTTATACTAAAATGCCCTCAGTTGTACATTTTAATAATGGCAAATGGTTAATTTTATGGTATGTGAATTTTACCCCAATTTAAAAAGTTACTTGTGAAACACGGTACTATACTACTTGGGACTCAAAGGGTAATGAGAAGTGGTCTTTGCAACCCAGCATAGCAGAAAGCAAATAGGTAAAATTACAATGTATGATAAATATTAAAATAGGTTCTTGTACTAATAGATATATTTGCCCAAGAGCCCCAAAATGTTTAAAGATTTATTGCAGTAGTTCATAACAGTGGAAAATTAGAAAACCCGTACAACTAATTAGGGGTCATTGCTTGCAAGCACTAAGTCAGATTCTGGCTAACTTAAGCAAAAAAGGAATTTAGTTGGCAGGATGCTAAACCGCTGTGTGTCGTTGAGAAAACTGTCATGTGCTCTTTGAGAATTCCTTAAGGAAAGGCTGACCTTGCCGTCTTCCTTTACCCACCCTCCAAATCTCCTAACTTGTGTATTATACAGCTTAAACGCCTATAAAAGAGGAACTGGTAAAAATTATGGTAAATTTATATATACAGCTGTTCAAAATGATATGAAGATACCAAAAATATTTTTAAGATAAAAAAAGGGTGCAGCTGCAGTACAGTATATGGTATCAGCCTATTTTTGTTTAAAATGTTTTTTAATTTGTATACGTGTAGAAACATCTGAAAAAGTTGCAGTTATTTGGGAGAATAAGCATACTTATATTTTTTTAATTTCTTAAAATTAAAGTTGTGTTTAAAATACAACCTAATTAAAATTAATTTGTATCACAACTTAAGACAAAAACACTAGTAGTCACATAGGAGAAAACAATTATCCAGATGAGAAATAAAAAAGGTCTAAATTAGGTAGTAAGAGTGAAGGTAAAGTGAAGGTTGGATACAACAAACATTTCAAAGAATTATAGATTTCAAAGAATTATAGATTATAGAATTATAGATTTTATTAACTAAGAAGATAAAGGGATGCAAACTTTAATTCCAGCTAACAGAATAGTTGCTGTTAACAAAATAAGAAAATCTGTTAAGTATTCTGGACATGTTCAATTTGAATATTCAGGTAGAGGTTTTTATTGGAAATTTGGATCTAGGTCTAGTGAAATAAGTTATACTTGGGAATCATTCCCCAAAAGGGCAATAAATGAACCTTGGGAAATAAATGAATATATAAACAAGAGCAATTTTAAGAGGGATGAGGGGAAGAACCAACATTTAGAAGGTAACTTGTGAAGTAAGTCATAGAGGAAAAACAGTGCAATCTAGTTTTTTTTTCTGATTGAAAGCAAAACCCTTTAACACCAGTAACTTGTTAAGACCTCTTCATGATAACCACCATTTTTCAATATCACCATCACCATCACATCCCAGAGCCATACCATGACAGGAACTTCCTCAATATTAATTGCCTGAGTACTGAAGAAAAATATTATCTGTTACTAAGGTGTGACTTATTTATCTGTAATTTAAAAGGGGGGGGTTACTTTCTGTTCTCCAGATATTCAGAAGAGACAAGACAATTTTAACTGAAGCTACTCTTCCAACCCTGTCTGTCAGCTATTGTAAGTTTGTTAATAACATAACAAATTCTTTTAAAATTACATTAAAGTATAATTCTATAACCTGTAAAACTAACATTTGATATACTTTTCCTAATCTTTCAATGCCTTGTTTTTATGACATATATAGAAATATTTATTGAAGGACTACTAAATATCATACCCTAATACTTTACCATCTTATTGTGCTTCCAGCCATCCTGACACACACAAGTCAAGTGGTTTGCTCAAGGTCGTACAGCTAGAATTTAAAACCTGTGTTTACATATCCGGTATGAGTCCAAAGCTCAATCTTGACGACAAAGCTACAATATCTGCTTCTCCTCTTACCTATTTAGCATAGCTTTAACATTTCCCAGAACATTAACAGTAATAATTTACTGGCAACCTTCTGTTGTATAGATATACCATGATTTACTTTCATATTTACTTGCCATTAGTTTTTTCTTTTTTTTAATAAATAGGGAAGTTGACGCGCGCGCGCACACACAAGACAAACTGGCAAGTAGCGGTTGCCAGTGATCCTCTCATTTCAGTTTCTTAGCTTTCATATACAGTAGAATGAACAATTACAGTAATATAGACCAGAGGAGAACAAAGGTAGTATTGAAGTATAACAGGGACAATCTAAAACAGCGTTTGAAAGCAGAGCTCATGCTGCTCAACGTTAGCAGGAAGAAGGAATAGGACAAAAATAAAAGTGAGGCTGTCACAGAAAAGCCAGCTTATTACTAAGTTAGGTTTTATGGGAGGCTGTTAAGTCACACATTAGCAGTCTCACCAATAATGTGACCACATCTGCAATCAGAATTTTCAATAATAAAATTATATACATATATATAACATAATACAAATTTTTTTTCTATCCTTTAATTTCCAAAGCATGTTCAGTCACATTTGACTGACTTGTGGTACATAATTTTCTTTTACAATAGGCCAGGACATCTGTGTTATCCTGATTATACAAAAACAGATACAAAATGGTGTTGAGACTTGCCTGAAATTACAAGACTAAGTGTACACGCATATATATTTTTAAATCTCTTTATTTCCATTCCATCCCTTTGGCTGAACATTATGAGTACAATATCTGACCTTCTTGTATTCCCCTCTCTCATGGAAGGCATCACTATCCAGTAACCCAAGCCAAATCTCCTTTGTCATCCCCCCACCAACAGTCATCAAATGCTAACAAGACAGCTTCCTAAATCTCTCTGGAATTGATCTCTTCCCCATTAGAGTTCCCTTTTGCAAGTCCATTTCTTCATCATAAGTCTGACATGTGAGCTCTTAATTGCTCTGCCGCAGTTTTCTCTTCTTCAGTCAGTGGTAACAGCTACAAAACAAATGACAAAATCTTTATTTCAAAATCCCTTAAAACAACAAGGTCCTACTGTATACCACAGGGAACTATATTCAATATCCTGTGATAAATCATGATGGAAAAGAATATGAAAAAGAATGTATATATGTATATAACTGAATCACTATGCTGAAGAGCAGAAATTAACACATTGTAAATCAACTATACTTCAATAAAATAATTTTTTTAATTAAAAAAATCTTTAAACACTGCTAAATTAATTTCTGCTTTGTTACACCAATAAATGTTTCCATAAGTTCATACTATGTATGTAATCACAAATTTAGGAAGGCAAGGAAAAAATACATATTGGCTATCTATATACAAGCTACTTTGATGTTTGAGTTTCCAAAGAACTTGCAATTAAATTGAAGAAACAAGACCAAGAAATCAAACAATTTAAGGACAGTAATTTAACAGAACCAAGGAAGTCACATTTGAACAGCATATTCTAAAAGTACTTTGAAAAAGAAATGGGAACAAAAATAGTCTGGAAGTTTCTTCAGAAGTAGAGATTTGGGTTAAATTTTGAAGGATAATTAAGATGCTTTTATCTGCAAGTAATAGAGACACATTTGAAAATGGATAAATAAGAAAATGTATTATCATTGCACAATAAATACAGAAGAAGGGCAGGTTTCAGGGCTGGTTTATGCTCAACAATGTAAGGACTCAGTTTTTTCCATCTAACAGCTCTGATATCCTTGATGGTGGCTTTATCCTCAAGCTGACAGGAAAGTGGCTCTAGCGGTGCTAGGTATCACATCTGTACACAATGTTTAGAAGAAGTAAAGCTTTCTCTTCCCAGGGTTCTCTCAGCAGTGGGGAAACTCTTCCTAATTTCCTACTTTCAGACTTTCCCTCCTCATATGTCATTTGCGTTACAAACCTATTCCTGAACCAATGTTAGTTAAAGGAAAATCCATTCCCCTTGCAAATCAGGCACACACCCCTGAAGCTGAGGATAGCAGCAACTTTACCTCAGGCCTGAGTCTGAGGAATGGCACACATCTCAAGAGAGTCAGTAATCTTTTAGGCAGGAAGAGAGAACAGATGCTGAGAAAACAACCAGCAAACAGAATTCACAAAAGCAGGTAGAAGGACTACTAAAAATCAAAAGGGAAGGGGACCTCCCTGGTGGCGCAGTGATTAAAAATCTGCCTGCCAATTCAGGGGACACGGGTTCAAGCCCTGGTCTGGGAAGATTTTCACATGCCGCAGAGCAACTAAGCCCATGCGCCACAACTACTGAGCCTGCGCCTAAAGCCCATGAGCCGCAACTACTGAAGCCCACCCTCTGCAACAAGAGAAGCCACCGCAATGAGAAGTCTGCGCACCGCAACGAAGAGTAGCCCCTGCTCGCCGCAACTAGAGAAAGCCCACGCTCAGCAACGAAGACACAACGCAGCCAAAAATAAATAAGTAAATAAATTTATATATTAAAAAACAAAAAACAAAGAAAAGCCGAAGGCAAGTTGTAAGGGGCTTTCACAGAGCACCAACAAACAGGCTAGCTGAAACATAGGGTTAATGAGGAAATAATAGGAGGTAGGACCTGAAGAATCACTCAAATAGTTACAAATCTGCTTAACTATATAGGTCATCTCTAGAGAGACTGCCAAATCTGGAACACCTCATACCTACAGAATCAGAAGCTCTAGGGCAACGCTGTCCAATAGAACTTGCTGTGATGCTGGAAATATTCTGTATCTGCACGGTCCAATCAGTAGATGAAGGACTGAATTTTTAATTTTATTTAATTACTTTTAATTTATATAGCCACATGAGGCCATTGGACACCCCACCTGGTTTCGTTTATCAAGCCATCATTTGCCCAAAATGTTCACATGGATAAAATGAAAAACAATCATAGGCCTTACTGCAGCTCAAATAGTAACAGAATTTCCCTCTTCTGTCTCAAAAACAGGAAATGGCATTATTCTGGCAAGACTTTGTTCTCCATGAATCCATGTTTCTCATTGTGATCTCTGAAATTCAGAGAGATTTCAGACCATCTGTTTATAAAATAAAACTTCAAAGAGGTTTTCCAGGAGTTAACTAGTCTAAAATGTGTAGAAATTTTTCTTCTTTAATACAAATGTTTCAGAGCATCGATGGAATACCATACATTCTATCTTTAATGCCTTTTTAATTTTCTATTTATTGCTATACTTTTGTTTGGGAGGGGTTGTTTTGCTATCTTCTATTTGGAACAGGTTTAGTCCTTTTTTTCTTTTGATGGTCACCTTTACAATTAACTATATTTAAACCTCAGTGTCTTAACAGCAACTAAAAAGATCAGGAAATTGGGGCTTCCCTGGTGGCGCAGTGGTTGAGAAGCTGCCTGCTAATGCAGGGGACAGGGGTTCGAGCCCTGGTCTGGGAAGATCCCACATGCCGCAGAGCAAGTGAGCCCGTGCGCCACAACTACTGAGCCTGCGCGTCTGGAGCCTGTGCTCCGCAACAAGAGAGGCCGCGATGAGGCCCGCGCACCGCGATGAAGAGTGGCCCCCGCTTGCCACAACTAGAGAAAGCCCTCGCACAGAAACGAAGACCCAACACTGCAAAAATAAATAAATTAATAAACTCCTACCCCCAACATCTAAAAAAAAAAAAAAATTATAAAAAAAAAAAAAAAAAGATCAGGAAATTAATATGTATTCCCTTCCTTCCACCTCCTTTTCTATTCTTATCTCCCTATTTATTTTTTACTATTACCAATTCAAGTTCTTTTAATTCAAATATACATTTTCTGTCCTTCCAAATGAAAAACCACTCAACTTGATAAAAATCATAGCAAGATAATAACTGAACCGTTTTACTTTGTTTGCTTTCTTTTGTTTATGAACAAAGGACCATTTGCCCTAAGTAGAGATCCCTTTCTTGTTCTTCATGTTCCCAAAATAATTTTAAAAGCCCTTTTGGTTATTTTAGAAGTTTTCAGAATCCTCAGCTCAATCTAGCCTTTGGCTTTCTTAACTATTCTCACAGTTCTGACCATATGTCTAATATACCTCTTTTTATACTTGAAATTCCTTTACACGTCCTTTACACTCTGGGTTCATAGAACTATTTTTGGTTATATAACTCTCTATAGATGCCATTCCCTTTTCTTCCACATTTTGATCATAAAAATTTTCTCTTGGGCTTCGCTGGTGGTGCAGTGGTTGAGAGTCCGCCTGCCGATGCGGGGGACGCGGGTTCGTGCCCCGGTCCGGGAGGATCCCACACACCGCAGAGCGGCTGGCCCCGTGAGCCATGGCCGGTGGGCCTGCGCGTCCGGAGCCTGTGCTCCGCAACGGGAGAGGCCACAGCAGTGAGAGGCCCGCGTACCGCAAAAAAAAAAAAAAAAAAATTTCCCTTAATTTTCTACTACTATCTCATTTTTAAACTAGTGGGTATAAGACCCACTATATTCAACATTTCCCAACCTGGCTATCATTGATTCTAAAATATGATCTCCTTTTTCAAGGTTTATAACCTGCCTTTCAGTCATTTCTCCTTATTTGTCATCATCTGATCCAAAGTGAAAACCCTTAGCTTCCTACCTTTGATATAATTATTCCTCATTTCAGATACTTCTTTTAACTAAATGAAGACTTTTATAGATATTGAAATGATTTGACATCCCCTATCACTATCATAACTACTTTTCTGTACCACTTTTTTAATCTCATAAATATGCCATTTATTTATTGTATCTAATGGAGACAATTTTTAGTAAATATTCAAAAAATCATTTTTCTCTTTACTCACCCAAATTTATTGTGCTTCAATAAATTCGTGGATTTCTATACATATATGTTGATATATACATCCAGAACTACTCTTAGTCTCTCTTCAAGATTTGTTTCCTTAGAACAAGTTTATGTGCTTCTGTTGTCAGGCTCTGATCACATGTACAATGAAGAATATGTGACTTGATTTTATTTATAAAGGTTATTACATCTTTTTTGCATTTTATTTATTAGCAGGTGACGCCACCCATACTATTTAAATTCCTGCTCCCTATTCCCTCTGTGCCCTTTTTAATTGCCCTCCCCTCTTCCACTATTCATTTCTCCATGACATAACACATACATTTAAGGTGTCATTTTACGATTTTTACCCAGGCACTGTTCTCTTTTCCTCCATTGGTAACATAAAGAATTCTTCATCAAATTAACCTGGGTAATCAACCTTTGAGATCTACTCTTGCTGCAAGCCTATAATTCAAGTAACTTAAGCCATAATTTAGTTCAGACTTGGCAAATAAATACCATGTATGCTGCCCCTAGCAGCATGCCACAGCAGATAGCTTTTTTTTTTTTTTTTTTTTTTTTTTTTTTACGGTACGCGGGCCTCTCACTGTTGTGGCCTCTCCCGTTGCGGAGCACAGGCTCTGGACGCGCTGGCTCAGCGGCCATGGCTCACGGGCCTAGCTGCTCCGCGGCATGTGGGATCTTCCCAGACCGGGTCACGAACCCGGGTCCCCTGCATCAGCAGGCGGACTCTCAACCACTGCGCCACCAGGGAAGCCCCCAGATAGCTTTTTTGCCATGCCCAGACACAGCTCCTTAATACAGCATTCTAAGCAGGTGTTACCAGTTAACCGATTGGAGTTAGCACCAGAAATTAAAACCTATTGGACATCTTTTGTCCAGATAATTAAATTCAACTCTATGATTCCATCTACATTAGGCTATCTTTTCTTTCAAAAGCCCTCACCTTTGCATTGTAAATGAAAATGCGAGCAAACTCTTCAATTGGCTGTTCGAGATCTCAGTGCCTAGGTCAGCAGTTCATATTCTTTTTCCTACTCCAACATATCTAAAGAGTTTTACACATTAGTGATAGAGGATTACACTAAATGAGATTCTTACAGTAAATGAGAAGGGGGTGCAGAATGGAGGAAGAGGATGAAGGTCAGGCTTACCCAAGTCCACCAACCCAACTGAAGAAAAGGAGAACTAAAAAAAAGTCACTGGTATAGATGCTTTCTAGATTTCTCAGTCTCACTAGTTCTTACAGGAACCAGCAGAACTGGTAGATTTAATAAGTATTAGGAAGATTTCTCTTCTGCCATGGCTACATAATCCAAGACAGCATACCTCTTCATTAACCATGTCAAGTCCACCTGCTCATTTTAAAATAAAAGGAGGGAGACTTCCCTGGTGGTGCAGTGGCTAAGAATCCACCTGCCAATGCAGGGGACACGGGTTCGATCCCTGGTCCGGGAAGATTCCCACATGCTGCAGAGCAACTAAGCCCACGTGCCATAACTACTGAAGCCCAGGTGCCTAGAGCCCGTGCTCTGCAACAAGAGAAGCCACTGCAATAAGCCTGCGCACCACAATGAAGAGTAGCCCCGCTCACCGCATCTAGAGAAAGCCCGCGCACAGCAAAGAAGACCCAACACAGCCAAAAATAAATTAAATTTATAAAATAAAGAAGATGAGAGCTATTATACTTCAGGGAATCAGGAAAATCTCATTTCTATCAACAGTTCCAACTGCTGAATTTCAAAATGAGAGTTACTGGGGATTTATCTTTCAAAGAGAAATTCAGAATTAAAATTCTACAAATCCAACTGGTCAATTGAAAGCATTACCTTCAGGTCTGTTTGCTTTTGTAGTTCTTGTATCAAGGTCATAGTCTTATTGAAAGTAGCACAAATGTGGCTCTTAGTCTCTTTATGCTCGACAGCAATTGGTTTAAAGCGTGCATGCAAAGTTTGATATCGAGACTTTATTGCTGACAATTCCTTTAAGAGCGTAACAGGATTTTTCTACATCAGGAAAAAAATTAATATATATTAAACCTGGAAAGGAAAAATTAAGCTTCTTTTAAGAATTAAAATATATACAGCACATTCTACCATCCATTTAATAGAACACTGTATTTAATACACAGCTATGGGACAGAGGATGGGAGGAAGGAAAAAAGAGAGAAGTATAAGACCTACATCCTATTCTCAAGGAATTTAAAGCCTAGGCACAGAAATAACCCCTCCCCTGCACACACACACACACACACACAAAACAGCAATATTAAACAGCAAATAAGGTCACATTAGATATGTAATATTTGATGTATAGCTCACAATAATTAATTACACCATACTTCTAAAATACAGTTCTAAATGTTATTATACAGAAGGTGATTTAAGGAACTATGATTTGTTGAATAAGACAACTTGAAACCACTTATGATGAAATTCTTTTTTAATTAATTTATTTATTTTTGGCTGCATTCGGTCTTCATTGCTGCACACATGCTTTCTCTAGTTGAGGAGAGCGGGGCTACTCTTCGTTGCCGTAAGCGGGTTTCTCATTGCGTGGCTTCTCTTGTTGCAGAGAACAGGCTGTAGGCGCGCTGGTTCAGTAGTTGTGGCTCACGGTCTCTAGAGTGCAGGCTTGTGGCGCACGGGCTTATTTGCTTCGTGGCATGTGGGAACTTCCCGGACCAGGGCTGGAACCCGTGTCCCCTGCATTGGCAGGCAGATTCTTAACTACTGCGCCACCAGGGAAGTCCTGAAATTCTTAAATACACTGTCATGGGGCTAAAGTATGTATGAGCACCAATTCACTGACCTCACTATACAAAATGCATGCCAACTCAAGCAACTATATTTATAAATTACATTAGTTTTTCAAATTCATTTTGGAATATAAACCACTATTCCAGAAAAGACATTTCAACTGGGTGCTTTCTGCCACTTGGTTATTCTTTTCATTCCCTGGTGGTTTCTTAGCAAACCCTCCAATACTAGCTATTCCAAACTTTCTCCACTCCCTCCAGTTCCCATCCACCCCTTCTTGGCAAAAGACCTCACCCCAACTACTTTACTGAGAAGACAGAAACCATCTAGGAGTTTCTACTCCTGCGTTTTCACTGAAAATGAAAACACTTTGGACATTCTGATCCTTACTTAGCCCCTAACACTACCACTATTTTTTTTTAATAAATTAGTTTATTTATTTATTTTTGGCTGCATTCAGTCTTCTTTGCTGCACACGAGCTTTCTCTAGGTGCAGCAAGCGGGGGCTACTCTTGGTTGCAGAGCGCAGGCTTCTTATTGCCGTGGCTTCTCTTGTTGCGAGGCACAGGCTGTAGGGACATGGGCTTCAGTAGTTGCAGCACGCAGGCTCAGTAGTTGTGGCTCTCGGGCTCTAGAGCGCAGGCTCAGTAATTGTGGCGCATGCGCCTAGTTGTTCCACGGCGTGTGGGATCTTCCCGGACAAGGGCTTGAACCCGTGTACCCTGCATTGGCAGGTGGATTCTCAACCACTGTGCCACCAGGGAACTCCCACTACCACTATTATTGTTGTGTCCTCCCCATATCCTCCAGAACCTTAAATTTCCTATATTTCAATAACCTTTTCATACCTCCCTCTATACAGACCTCAAATATATATAAATTTTCCCTATACTGAGGGGAAAATTAACTCTTCTCTTGACTCTGTTGCAATTCAAAACCAGTTTCATTTTTCTTACTCCATTTGCCACCAACCTTCTAGGTCCTATAATAATACATTTCCTAGGCCTTTTAATAATAAATAGCCCTGGGACTTCCCTGGTGGCACAGTGGTTAAGAATCCACCTGCCAATGCAGGGGACACGGGTTCAAGCCCTTGTCCGGGAAGATCCCACATGCCGTGGAGCAGCTAAGCCTGTGCGCCACAACTACTGAGCCTGCGCTCTAGAGCCTGCGAGCCACAACTACTGAGCCTGTGTGCTGCAACTACTGAAGCCCGTGCCCCTAGAGCCCATGCCTCGCAACAAGAGAAGCCACAGCAATGAGAAGCCTGCGCACCGCAACCAAGAGTAGCCCCCGCTCGCCGCAACTAGAGAAAGCTCTGCGCACAGCAACAAAGACCCAAAGCAGCCAAAAATAAATAAATAAATAATAATAATAGAAGACCCCATAGACCAGAGTCCTTTGCCAAATTATTTTAAACAATCAAAAAGTCAGACTTGCTCTATAATTTTGATATCCCTCTTTTTGCCTCTCCTTATTTCTTTCCTATTCTAATCTTCTTAAAATGGACTCTTGATTTCCACAAAACTATAGTATCTTGGTTATCTTCCCACTCTTCAAGTATCTCCTTTGTGGACCCTACCTCATGGCTATAGTCAGAGGCTCAGTTCATGGCCCTCTACTCCCCTCTTTGGAGATTGATAAATAAAGATGATTCTAACAGGAATGAATAAGAACAGAAAATCTAACTTAAAGACTGTTAAAATAACTCTGCAGAGAGTGACCAAGACCTATGGCATGAAGAGTAGAAGCAGGAAAAGGACAAAAGAGACACCATAAAAAAGTTAAGAAAACTTATGTTTGATATGGGCAAAGAAATATAGATGACACCAAATGTATAGTCTGGCAAATACTGTATATTAAGATGCCTTTTGGGATATCTACTCAGTAAACACCCCAATGACACTGAGACCTGTACCCTAACCCTTCATTTCTCATAATGTATCTAGATATTCTAAGAGATTGCCAGTAGAAAAACTGGAAAATACAGTCAAAAAAATATCCTAAAAAGGAGGGGGGAAATAGACAAAATTGAAAGAAAAGATAAGAAAAATAGAGGATAGATTCAGGGAGTCCAATATTTCAGTAATGGGAAAGGCCACAAAAGAGGATTTCTTTTCTTATGAATATATAGGTAAGAAAAGTGATATGACTTTAGATTCACGTGTTTCATATTTAAAGAGCCCCACCAAGTGACAGCACAGTTAATGAAAAGACCTATATCATAATCATAAAATAATTATAAAATTTCACAGCATAGATAAAATATTCTTAAAGTTCCAAGACAGATAGGTGTGCTGCAGGATTTGGGGGCGGGGTGGGGGGGGATGGAAGGTATAAAATAAGAAGGAAGACAAATACAACCGATCAGGAATTAGAATGGCATCTATTTCTCAACAAGAACACTGGAAGCTAGGAAACCACAAAACCATGATTTTAAAATTAAGAGAAAATAATCTCTAATCTAGAATTCCATACTCAACCAAACCATCCATCAACTAAAGGATTAAATAAGGGTTAAGTAAATACATTTTCAAACATCTGACATCTCAAAGAGTGAAATATATGATCCAAACTAAAGGGAGTAAAACAAAGGGAATTACCAAAATTATGGTAAAGAAATTCCCAGCCATGCAGGAAGCCTGTAGAGCCGAAGGTTAGATTGGAGCAAGAGGACAGACAGCACACAAGGGATGTGGAAGAAAATGAAACTTAGGGATCATGTGATGTGTCTGACAATGTTGACAGGAGTTTAACAGTTCTGGTAGAAAAGTCTGAGGCTGAATTAATGATAAATGCATAGAAAAACTAAGAAAATTGAAGGGGAAAAAAAGAAAACAATTATTAGCTCCAGAAAAACAAGTTGTATAAGAAAGGAAAAGCAAACATAGTATATTGCGCGACTTGGATAAAAGCAATATTTGCAGAGCCATAATTACTGTGATCTGAATGTGTCCCTGCAAAATTCATTTGTTGAAACCTAACCCCCAAGGTGATGGAATTAAGAGGTGGGATCTTTGAGAGGTGATTATGTTATGAGGGTACAGCCATCACGAATGGGATTAGTGCTCTGATAGAAGAGGCCTTAGAGAGATCTTCCCCTTCTGCCATTTAAGGATACAACCAAAAGTCTGCAACCCAAAAGAAGGCCCCAGGGCTTCCCTGGTGGCACAGTGGTTGAGAGTCCGCCTGCCGATGCAGGGGATACGGGTTCGTGCTCCGGTCTGGGAGGATCCCGCGTGCCGCGGAGCGGCTGGGCCCGTGAGCCATGGCCGCTGAGCCTGTGCGTCCGGAGCCTGTTCTCCGCAACGGGGGGAGGCCACAACAGTGAGAGGCCCGCGTACTGCAAAAAAAAAAAGTACCCAGTCTACTATTTTGTTATAGCAGCCCCCAAAACAGACTAAGACATAATAATATAAACAAATACTGAATGATATATCCAGAAATTGTGAAGATGAGGATACTTATGGATAGTATTTAATCTTTATCTTCAATAACAGGAAGTTATTAATAATAACAGCTAAAATATATCACATATTCTGGACCAAACAGTTCTAAACACATTATGTATATATATAATTTTATTCTCTCTTAACCTACAAAGTAGGCAGTAATAAACCATTTTATAGATGAGGAAACTAAGTACAGAGAGGTTAAGTGACTTGCCTAAGATCACAATGCAGAGCTGGGATTTGAACTAGAATAGTCTGTATCCAGGAAATCAGTAGATATTTCAGATCAGAGGAAAAATAGCAATATAAGCATACTACTTAGAAATATAGAGGTAAATACAAGAAGATGCTGAAATAAAAGTGTGAAACAAGGAATTACTATTTGTAACTATGTACTTCTGTTACTTTTCTAATTATTTATAAAAATTAATTTGACAAAAATAAAAGTTTCAGGTTGGGAGGAAAATTGATTTGAGGGTAGAGGACATCAACTGTGAGATGGCAGGGGATCAGGCAATTATAAATGATCTTTAGAATGGAGCTCAGTAGTGAATTGATCAGAGAACTGTACATATAAACCATAAGAATAACGAATTCCCCAAATATTGATACAAATTTATAGGGGAAAAAAATGTGTTAAGAACTAATCCTGATGATCTCCCAAACTAGGAAAAAAGAAGGAATTGGTGAATAAGGTGTAAGAAATAAACAGCCATAGAGCTAAGAGTTAACGTAGGGTAGTTAGTCAATTACCCATACTACATGTTTTGTGACAGTAACTGAGTCTAGTAAAATTGAGATGGCAATGATTAACTCAGGAAACGTGATTTTAGGACTTAGCACCACACCACAGAGGAAAACATTATTGTGCACACAGCCTGTTTTGAGTGACTGGCTTCTTGGGAGCCACTGTGTTCTTTTATTAGTGTTTGCAAACTATTCTGCACTTTATTTAATTTTGTGCCTATAACATTTCAATTCGTTTTAGGGTTTTATTTATTATAAATGGGTGATCACTTTTGGTAGCTCACAAAAATATACAAGAAGTGTTCTGGTTACGACAGTGCTAGTGATGAGGAAGAAGAAAAGCCAATATGTGAGCAAAAAACTAAGTCTTTTGAAAGAAACAAAAGGAAACATGCCATTAATCGTGTTACTAAATTTAAAAGAAACCACAGGACTTCCCTGGTGGCACAGTGGTTAAGAATCCGCCTGCCAATGCGGGGGACACGGGTTCGAGCCCTGGTCCACGAAGATCCCACATGCCGCAGAGCCAATAAGCCCGTGTGCCACAACTACTAAGCCCACGTGCCACAACTACTGAAGCCCACACGCCTAGAGCCCATGCTCCCTCTGCAACAAGAGAAGCCACTGCAACGAGAAGCCCACGCCCTGCAACAAAGAGTAGCCCCTGCTCACCACAACTAGAGAAAGCCTGCATGCAGCAACAAAGACCCAATGCAGCCAAAAATAAATTAATTAATTTAAAAA